GACGGTTCTGAAAGGGAGACGTCCTGACTCCGCGGAAGCCACGATGGGCCTCACGCTGGACCCTGGAGAATCGGCCCCAGTCAGATGTTTTCTGCACTTCTGGCGAGGGAGCTGTCAGGGCGAGAGTCAGGCCGCCCCATGCCCTCTCCCCTACTCCCCTGCTCCCACCCTGCTGTGCCGTGCCACCCGTCCCCACACCAGTGTGTCCCTACGAGCCCTGCTGCTCAGCTCCCGGAGCCAGTGGCACAGTGGAAACGCCCCGGCCTTCAGAGTCACCCTCTCTCCTCCACTCCTGCCACCCGCCTTGGCACGCCTCGCCCCGACCCTGCTGGCCTGTCCCCATTCCAGACTTCTTCCCAGCCTCCTTGCTGTGATTTGCCTCCTTACCCTGTGTGTCACCCTCCCCATCGGTCACATACGTTGTGTTTTCCCATCGTGTTGACAAGTGACCGTGTAACATGAGCTAGTATTGTCCTGGGAGCTCTCATATGTTACTTAACGATAAAACCCTTGTTTTACGAATTGAGAAATGAAGGTTCAGAGAAGTTAGGTACTTTGCCCAAAGTCACGTCACCGGTGAGCACCGTGAGGTCTGTGTCCCACGGCACCATCATCAGAGAAGGCAGGAGGGGACCGCGTGTGCATGCTTCTCGCTGGCCTTGCAGGCCGCCCGCCCGGAGGGCGACGTGGCGATGCCAGGCCGTCACTAGACCTCCTGGATTTGTCCTGGGGAAGGAGCCGCGGAGGTGCGTGTGTGTCGCAGTGCCGTGGTGCTGGCAGGAGCGTGAGGACGGTCACGCCTCCCGCAGTGCAGACTGCGTAACGGAGGTGCGTGTGTGTCGCAGTGCCGTGGTGCTGGGAGGAGCGTGAGGACGGGGTTTACGCGCATTTACATAAGTGAAGCGCGGTACTGCCGTTGGGGACGGCCGGCATCCATGTCCGTGGGGCATGAGATGGACGGTGTGTTTAGAGGAGACGGGGGACAGTGTCCGCAGAGAGCAGCGTGTGGCGGTGCACGCCCCAGAACGTCATCAGCGAAACGTCCGTACACGCAGCCGAAAGGGTCCCAGAGCTGCCGGTGGCACACACCTCGCCTGCCGACGGAGACGCAGGGCGTTTGCTTAGCCCGTCCGCGCGTGGACGTGGGGGCCCTGCCTCGGGTGGTGGGTGCGTCCGAGCCTGCTCGCCAGACCCCCAGAGTGACGGCTCCGGCAGCAGCTTGTCCAGGGCTTCGCGTCACAGGCCCTTTCGGTGACACCATGTCCTTCTCTCCTCAGGTGTTGCTGAGCCAGGTGCATCGGCTGAGAGCCCTGGACCTTCTCGGGAGGTTCCTGGACCTGGGCCCCTGGGCGGTGAGCCTGGTGCGTGCTTCTGCGCGGGGCTGGGCGGAGCGGGCCAGTGAGGGCGGCCGTGGGGACGCCCGGCAGCCGCAGCGTCGGGGTCGGCTTGTGCTTCGCCCCCCTGACCCGTTTGCTGTTCTCAGGCGTCACTTCTGCGGGACAAAGTGCCACCAGCCTGCTGCTCTTCAGGGAGTGGCTCCGCCCTGCCACAGCCCTGTCCCTGGCCACACGTGGCCTGTTTCCTCCCGGAAGCCCCTGCAGACCCTCATTCGCCGTCTTGGCTCCCTGACTTCCAGCCACTCGCTCTATAGCAGAGCAGGAACGGCCACGTGAAACAGGAGGGACTGACGGGAGGAGACGGCACGACTCACGGGGTCTGCCGGTTAGAGCAGGTGGTTAGAGCAGGCCCGAGACGCCTGTCCATCAGCTGCAGTACGGGGACCTTATTTGGTTCTGTTTGCAAGTAAACATTTGAAAGTTCAAGTTGGAAAAGTTAATACTCAAGAAACAATTAGGAGTTTAGCTGGATGTTTTCTTATTAAAGAATAATGGTTTATTTTCTTAGATGTGGTAATGGTCTGTGGTCATGTTTTGATAAGAAACTTCATTTTTAGAAGTAAATACTGAGTGTTTACAAATGAAGTCATGTGATAGGACAGGGTCCCCCGAGGCTCAGGCAGCGAGCCCGTGGGCATTCAGATGCCATTTCATCTCCGCTTAGGACTACTTAAGTCTTTCCACGATATAATGTCAGAAAGAGAGATAATTGTCCCCAGAAGGAAGAGCGAGCCCAAGGCTAGGAAGAGGGGTCAGTGCTGGCCACTGGCACTGACACTCCCCGGCGCCTGCAGCCGTAGACCCTGCGGCGAGGTGAGGGCCGTGTGTGGTCCTGCGGGACGGCGTCACCCAGACGTCCTGGAGAAGGCTGGGGGGACAGGAAACGTGCAGGCGCGCCCTAGAGCCGCTTCCGTTCACATCCTGTTGAAACCTAAGTCAGCACCCAGGGAGGCTGCCGAGGTCTGGTCTGGGGCTGGGTAATGATGGCGGCAGGTGCTGCTCTGGCCCTTGGTGATGGCCCCAGTGCGTGAACCGGAGGAACGAATGTTTGTCCCTCGTTAAGCGTGGCCTGTGACATGAAAGGGACCCGGGACCTGCCATCAGCCGGGTCACCCCCTGGCACCTGTCCTGGGTGGGGGCGCCCTGGGAGAGCTTCGGGATTGCGACAAGTCTGAGACGAGGACAGAGCAGACTGGGAACCTGGCGCAGTTGTCCCGGCGGCCTGCACGCTGGGCACCATCCTGTCTCGTGTCCCTGCAGAGCAGCCCCCGGAGACGAGTGGCCGGCAGAGCACGGGCACGGGGAAGCCGAGGCGGGTCCCTTGCAGCCGCCACAAGCCGAACCCAGGGTGCTGTCTCCAGAGCACCCGTGCGCATTGGGGTCGGCTGGGTGGGTGAGGTGGCCCCACGAGAGTCTCAGAGTGGGCCTGCATTGTCGCTAAGAGCAAGCCTGGCCACCAGGCGAGGGCAGTGGGGTCTCGGGCACGAGGGCGTGGCGCTGGACCCATCCAGGTCTAGAGCAGAGCAGCCCAAGGCGCCCTGCGGTCAGTGGGATTGGGGGTAAGACCCACAGGAGGCGAGGCCATCGGCTCCCGCGCATTCCCCATGTGGCTGAGGCCAGCGCCACACCGCATCCCACACTGCCCACTGACGCCACCCTCTCCCGCAGGCCCTGTCCGTGGGCATCTTCCCCTACGTGCTGAAGCTGCTGCAGAGCTCGGCCCGGGAGCTGCGGCCCCTGCTCGTCTTCATATGGGCCAAGATCCTCGCCGTGGACAGCGTGAGTAGTCCCTGTCCCCCCAGGGCCCAAGGCCGCCTGGTGGTGGTGGGTGCCGAGAGCAGGCAGCATCCCCAGGGTGCAGTGCCAGGGGCTGGCACCTCTCTCCCTCCCACGCTGGCCCCGAACTTCCCGTCCGCCCGCCTCCCTGCACCTAGGGCTGCCGGCCCTTCCTCTCGGCCGGAAGGGGCCAGTGCTCCCCTGTCGCCCCGCGGTCGGCTCGCCCAGCCACGCACTCTCCACTGCTGTCCCTCGCCCCGCACGCCACTTCCTCCCCAGCTGCCAGGCCCGCGGGGCTCCTCCGTCCCGCCGACGCTCTGCCGTCCCCGCCCTGGCCGTGGGAGCAGACACGTGGAGGCCCAGGCTGCCCCTGTGAGGCTCGGCCCTGCGGCACTGGCGGTCACTTCTCAGCCGTGACTGCCCAGCCCGCGTCTCCCTGCCAACCCTTGCTCGTGCCCGCCGGGCCCGCAGTCACCTGTCTCTGCAGAGATCTAGAGCTGCGCCGAAGGCTGTAGGTGGCACAGAGGTCAGCCTTCTCTGCCCTCGACAGGGTCACAGCCCAACGGGGACAAAACTCTGTGCTGGGAGGCCAGATGTGACACATCCCACAGGTGGCGTGGGCCGCGTCTGCGCTGGGTGTGAACGTGGGAGGCTGCTGAGTGTCAGGCGTGGGAGGCAGGAGCCTGGGACGGGCCCAGCACAGAGGACGTTCAGGGTGGCAGCCGGCGTCGGTGTGGAGGGCCCTTCAGGGCACAGGCGCTTCCTTCTGGGTTTGGGCCTCCGAGCTTCGCTTAGCCAGAGTGAGAAGCTGCTAGAGATTTTGGACAGAGATGGCGGGAACCAAGTTGTGGTTTTTAAAGTGCCTGGACTCGGTGTGAAGACTATGAAGTTGACCACGGGGGCGGGGGCCTCTGGGGACATGGGGGCCGGTGGGCAGGGGGGCCAGGCGGACGTGGGGGCAACGTTCCCGAGTTTGAGCCTGGGTGGTGGTGACAGGGGCCACCAGGCGAGGCAGACGTGGTCGGGGAGCGTTCAGAAGACCGTGGTGCCGAGGCAGGAGGTGGACACTGGGGACCCGTCCAGCCAGTGACGATGGCAGGCGGCCTCGGATGGGCCAGGGGCAGAGCCAAGGGAGCTGCTCTGGGGAGTGAAGGGGAGTCATGGGAGCGTTCTCCAGGGCCCTGACAACACGCAGGAGGGTGCCCAGGTGCGGTGGGTCAGGTAGCGGCTGTGGGGACAAACAGGCAGGGCTCTAGGCAGGAGGACCGCATGGTGGCTGCATGTCTGGGAGTTGGTGGGTGAGGACCAGCATTGGAGCAAGCGGGGGGCTCGAGCGGACAGTGACCTGGGCAGTCTCTGTCTAAGAGGAAGGAGCCAGTGGCGGCAGGGTCCGCGACTGTGCGTACGTGTGAGCGTCACAGCATGGCAGGGCTCGCGCGTGGCGCGGCCTCCATTCTCCACACGGTGCGGGACGTGTGTGTGCAGATCCTTACAGACAGGACCGTGCTGGAAGGTGAGCTGCCGGGACCACGGCCTGGCCAGAGCTCAGAGCCTCGGGCCACGTGGGGTCCTTGCAGCTCAGCGGAGTGGCAGAAAAGCTTGCAGGGCAAGGGCGTCCACTCACGTCCCCGTGGGCAGAGGCAGGAGAGGAACTGACCTCAGTGGGCCTCTGTCCTGCCGGCTCCCCCTCGGCCACAGCTGGTGCCATCAGGGCCTGTGTGCCCATGAGCTAGCCCAGCAGTCCGCGTGACTTGGGGCTCTGGTCAGCAGGATCCCCTCGCACGCTCTCTCCTGCACTGGCCGGCCCAGAGATGACAAAGCAGGCCGATCCCGAGCCTGGCACTGCCCGCCCCTCCGCTCACAGCGAGCCCACCAGGAAGCCCCAGGCAACTTAGGGCAGCCCGCCCAGCATCCGGCCTTGCTCCCCAAGCCCCGGGCCTCCTCACCCTGCAGCGGCCAGAGCTTTGCTGTGAGGGGCCAAAAACAGGGTCAAGGCTTCATGAGCGTCACGGGGTGTCCCCACGTGTGTGTGACAGCACGTTTGCTTCTGCGTGAAGGCGTCCTGATCCCCCTGTCTTTGGCTACTGTTCACACGCTGGACTCTCGCTGTTCCCTTGGCCATCCTGCAGCCACGGTGCTGAAGCCAGAGAGCCAGAAGTGGCCCTCAGGCCCCCCGCTGGTTCCCCCGCAGCCCGGCCCTCAGGGTTGTCACTGTCCCGCCTGGCCATGTGGACTGGGACACTCTGGTGCTGGCTGGTGGCGGTGATCGGCGCACCCTTGGGCGTGATTTTCATGCCCTCGGTGCTGGGAACAGCTTCCTTCCTCCTCAAGGCGTCCAGGCTGGCCTTGACCTCGGTTCGACCTTGACCCGTCTTGGGCCCAGTGCCCACCTTGTCCAGTGAGTGTTCCCTTGCTCGTCCTAGAACGAAGACTAGGTACTATGAGGTATCATATTTGTCAACAGAAGATCTAACTTTCCTTTCCTTCAAACCCTCCTCAAACGATGATTTCTTTAAAAGATCGTCCAGAACATTGGATTTGGAAGTTTAAAAAAGAAAGCTAAATTTGAGTCCTGCTGCCCCCGTGTACTTCCACAGGCCATTCCGCCCGCCGTCCCCTGCCCCTGGACCCCTGGAGAGCTGTGGCAAAGGCGCCTCTGGGCCTGGGCACAAAGCTCGGGGCCGTGTGCGGGAGCGCTCGTGGATCCAGTGAGGGGATACAGGTGTGAACGCAGACTCTGAGCCGCTCCCGCAGGTTTAAAGCCTGGGCTTGTGGGTCAGGCAGCCGTACCTTTCGACTGTTTCTATTTTGCCTTTTTTCAGACGTCCTTGAAGAGTCACGTTATGTTATGGGGCTCTTTTCCCGGGGAGACTTGAAACCGTTTCTCTTCTCCAGTGCTCTCTCATCCGAGTCACAGTGTATCAGCTCTGTCCTTGGTACCTGGCCATCGAGGACCCGCGTAGGGCTCCTGGATGCACAAACCGTGATGCAGAGCCAGGGCAGGAGGGGCCAGGACAGGTGGCACTCGGCACCCAAGTCCCCCGGCCGGCGCGCGTCGCCCCTGGGGACGGGCTGTCTGGTTTTCGGAGCAGCGCGTCTGCGTAGACTTCTCCTTGCGTGGAAAGGGACGCCCTTGCAGAACACCTTTCGCCGTTCCGTTCTCGAGAGTCGCAGCACTGGTGGTCCCATTTCAGGGCGAGGAATCCCGTTCACCGCCGAGCCTTGCTCCCATGTGTCCCCAGTGCCTGACGCGGGAGGCTCCATGCTGAGTGCCCCCCAGCCCACCTGGCGTCGACCACCTGCACGACGCTGGAGCCGTCACGCTCGACAGCCCGCGCGCGGGCAGTGTTCCAGCAGATGCCGCGGGCGCCGGGCCCCCGCGCGTTCATTCCCAGCCAGCGTGTCGCTCCTGCTTGCTTAAAGGCAGCCGTCCCACCGAGAGGCGTTTTGAAGTGTTCCAGTGGGGACCGAGCCGGGGCTCCCCGTCCTTCCTCCTCATGGCCATGCGGCCACAGTTCCCCAGGGACCGGACTCCGTGAGTTTAGGGACCTCCCCCACCCCTGTCTGGCGGAAGTCGTGCTGCCCTGCTGGCCTCCCCACAGCCGGCCTGCGCTCACGCGTGAGGGCCTTTTGCAGCACCCGGAGTCCCGGCGAGGGTCAGGGCTCCCGCTGCCCACACACAGCGACGCCCAGGTCGGGATGAGAGAAGCCGCTACGGTCAGACCGAGGCTCGCCCAGCCCCGTGCTCGGCTGCCCCAGGCAGGGCCTCCACTCAGGCTGCACCCTGGCTGGTTGGGAATCCGGGCCCCTGCACCCCACAAGCGTATGCTGAGCACACACCACGTGCTGGCACGCAGGGCTCGTGAGGGGCTTGGATGGGGGTAGGAAGCACCTCGGCCTCAAGACAGGAGGGTCCATCTGGCAGGAGGACGGAGAGCGGTGCTGGGAAGAGGAACAGGCTCAAGACCCGTCTGACTGAGGAGCGGGGGACACTGTGGGGACACTGATGTGGCCAAGAAGGCATGACTCGGGGCAGGAGACCCAACAACAGCATGTCAGGAAGGCCCTTTTGTCTCATTTCCGACTCCAAGAAGTCTGCCCCTGGGGGTCTCGTCAGGGTCACCCAGTCCCCATGATACCTGCACTCAGCGCCACCTAGCCAGAAGTACTAGGACGTGAGGAAACAGGCCAGCGTGACCCACCCCGAGGAGGGGAAAGCAGCCCGTTCAGAACTCTCACAGACGGTGGAATCCGCAGACGAGGACGGGAAACAGCTCTGTTGACATTCGGGAGATGTTAAAAGGACTCACCTCGGAGGAGGACAGTGCTCTCTGCCTGCCCCACAGCGGCTGGGCGCCTGGCCCCACTTCTGTCCCCAGGCGGGTCCTGCATGGCCCCCAGGGTCCCGTCATGCATCCCTCCACCCTGCCCGGTGGCCGAAAGCCGATCTCCAGCTCCGGCTCTGTGGCCTGGCTCTCCCAGAGCAGCCACATGGGGCGGTCGCCCACTCCCAGGCCCACGGACGTCTCCTGGGGGGCCTTTCTGCCCCGGCCGGGGTGTCCAGCAGCGGGGAGCCCCCTCAGACTGCAAACGTGGGGGTGCTGGAGTCCCTCGGCGTGCCTGCACCAGGGACGCCCACAACTGGCTTGAGCGAGGGGGCCCATAGCCCCGGCCTCCATGAGCGCACGGCCTTCACGGCGGAGCAGCTCAGCACCCTGGAGAGCTCCTTCCAGCACTGCTGCTACCTGGGCCCCCCGGAGTGCCGGGTGCTGGTCCAGAAGACGCGGCTGTCCCAGGTGCAGACAAAGCCTGGTTTCAGAATCGGCGCGTGACGCACAGACAGCAGCCGCAGCCCTCGCAGCCCCGCCCGCCCCTCCCTGGAGCTCTCGTGCGCCCTGGCTTTCCGTGCCCCACCCGCTGCCCTGCGCAGCGGCTGCCTGGGCACTGGCACGCCCCCTGGCTCCTTCGGGACCCCTGCCACGCGGAGCAGTTCCCCCAGCCTT